CGATCCTCCTGCCTCAGCCTTCCGAGTAGCTGGGACTACAGGCATGCACCACCACGCCCAGCTACTTTTTTTTTTTCTTTCTTTGAGACAGAGTCTCACTCTGTTTCCCAGGCTAGAGTGAGTCCTGTGGCATCAGCCTAGCTCACAGCAACCTCCAACTCCGGAGCTCAGGTGATCCTCCTGCCTCAGCCACCCGGGTAGCTGGGACTACAGGCATGCACCACCATTCCTGGCTAATTTTTTCTATATATTAGTTGGCCAATTAATTTCTTTCTATTTTTAGTAGAGATGGTCTTGCTCTTGCTCAGGCTGGTCTCGAACTCCTGACCTCAAGCAATCCGCCCGCCTTGGCCTCCCAGACAGAGTGCTAGGATTACAGCCGTGAGCCACCATGCCCGGCCAGCTTTTATTCTTTTTAAACAATAAAAAGAAAGCTTAGAAAATATCTAGAATTGTGTTATATGTGCTTTTGCTTATCAGTGTTGATGAAAATAAATTGTGCTACACCAAGATTGAAGAAAAGCCACCAGGACAGCTGGCACTGAAAAATAGTGACTGGAGGGACTAGAGCAGAACCTGAACTGGACAGATCAGGCAGATTCCAGGGACCCCCATGTAGGTTGTTCCAGGATCGATTGGTTAATGCCAAGAGCTAACCATGATATCTGTTGTTCTGTGTCACCCCAGCTTTCTTGTAATGCCCTCTCTGTAATTGCTGGGGACTGACAATTTTTAAACATTTTCTTTTACCAGCATGATGTATTGAATCCGCCCCTCCCCCCAGCAACACACACACACACACACACACACACATACACACACACACACTCTCTCTTTTTTTTCTGCTTCACCTCCTCACCTCTTCCCCCATCTTTTTTGGAAGATTCATCTGTTAAAAGAGTCCCCTGTCAGCAGCTTGGAATGTGAGTTCTGACTGTGCTTGACCACAAAGTTCTTTGATGTTTTTCCAAGGCTGACTTCTCACCAGATCCCTGGTTTGAATGTTTTTCCCCCAGCATACAGAGGCCTATAAGGTGAATTTGCCTTGTATTGTTGATGCGAAAGGTTGTTGGAACCTGCTCTTTTCTCGTGACCTTATGGTGGTTTTTTTGTTTGTTTGTTTGTTTTGAGACAGAGTCTCACTCTGTCACCTGGGCTAGAGTGCTGTGGCATCACCGTAGCTCACAGCAACCTCAAACTCCTGGGCTCAAGCAATCCTCTTACCTCAGCCTCCTGAGTAGCTGGGACTACAAGTGTGTACCACTACACCTGGCTAATTTTTAGTAGAGATGGCGTCTCACTCTTGCTCAGGCTGGTCTCTAACTCCGGAGTTCAAGCGATCCTCCTGACTCAGCCTCCCAGAGTGTTAGGATTACAGGCCTGAGCCGCCTCACACTGCCCTTCCTTCAGATTATTAATGTTGGGTTTTATCTCACTGACTTCAGCCTTCTAAAACATGATCTTACGGTTTTTTGTTGCTATAATCTACCAGTAGTTGTTGATACCTTTACCAGAGAGTTCCTGTCTATATTCAGGAGAGAGCTGAGAGCCGTTACGCCTGAAAGACTTTCTAGAAACTTGAGAAGCTACTTAGGCCTTCCCATGGAGATTTCCACAAGGATAAGGTTGCGCTCAGAAGCTCATCCTCTCTTCCTCTGTCATGGTATTGGGATTCTACCTTAATCACTCCATCATCCTGCCAGCCATGTCTCATTTCTCATACTGGAACACTCCCTCCTCCCAAGCTCAGCATGAACCACCAGTCTTGATGCTTTATCTGGTCCCGGCGCTAGCTCTTAAATTGTCCGTCTGGCTTTGTGTTTCATTTGACCCTAATACACTGGGTCGCACTGTCTAAAAGAGAATTATGTCCCCTCCGATGTCTGAGTGCATTTCTCATTTCTTACTGCTGCTCCTGAGCAGATCTGTAACTTCAAGGTTAAGATAAGACACATTCCATCAGAACTATGTCGTCATCCTTGCCAGCTTCTGATCTGTGACTGTCTAGGAGATTTACAAGACAATTGCACACCATTCTTTAAAGAATATTATGGTTGGACTCTGACTCTTGGCATCAGGCCCAATTCGATTTGTCAGCTGTTATAAAACCCATTTCCCAAATAGAAAGGGACCTCAGCCCATGTGCCCTTTAGGCAGTGTTTAAGGATGGGAAGGAGGGAATTGATCTGAATCTTTATTTCCTAATGTTTTAGGGAAAAAGGAGGAACCAGAATATTTTTGTCCCCTTTTCTCATTGAATTCACTTTTTTTCTGAAAGATTTAACGAAAATTTAGTGTTGCTGTCACTCTTTCCTGTCTGTTATCCCTTCACAGAATTACTATTAGTCTTTTCATTCTGTCATCTTCAACGTTATTCCTGAGTTTTAAGGAGTAAGAATAAGTATTTTCCCCTTGAGAGAGAACATACCTACCCTGTTCTTTCAAGGTTTATTAGTTTTCCAGTGTCTCTTAACAAAGACACTGTTTCTCCTTTTTCTGCCGTTTACTAACATGTTAAGCTCCAGGAGTTAATGCATGTGATAGAGTTTACTGGCTTAGGAATTTGGAAGGTCACATACTTCTTTCTGCTGTTGTATTCGGCCTTGACATATTTTTACAGAAGGTTCTCTTTGGGGGACTTAAGAGCTCTTTAGTTTCAACATAAACTTACTCTTCCCCTAGGAGGTAGACAGTGGGGATTTATTTGGCCCGTTTTAATGATACCAGAGTTCTAAAATTTATTTACTCGAGATCACACATGGCAAGTTAATCACAGAATCAGAACTGTGTTTTAATTTTATGGCATTGTTTTCATATCCTTTAATTATGAAAAGTTTGAAAAAAGATAAGAGTTTAAAACAGGCAGTTTTTACTCAGGGTTCCTGATGGGTCCGTTTAAAATTGAGGAAATCCCCTGTAATTAAAAAATTTCTCCTTTGCTCTCATGGTCTATGATTTCTTCTGTTTGACAGCCACAATAGTCGCCATTCTCTGCTTTTTCTTCATTTTGAGTTCCTTGCTTTTGATTGTCCCTTTACTGTCCTATGGCAGCAACCTCTGGCTCTAATGTTGCTATATTTGTAAAGCAGAGTAGTGTTTTGATGCTCTGTAAAAATGTTCTTTAGAGCCAGGAGAAAGGAAAATTTGTAGAATTTCAAGTCTATCAGTATCTTTTTTCTTTATCCCAGTTCTTTTCTCAAGTATTAGGGATTATTGATGTAGGGAGTTGTGTATTAACAATGTATTAGGCGATGAATAATTATTAAGAGATATGTTTCATAACATTATAAGAGTAACTGAGAAGTGGTTTTAATTTAACAACCATTAGGTTGTGGTCAAACTGTTCTCTCCTTTTTAAAAACTTCTTAGTGACTAAACTTTTTTTCCACCTATAATTTCAGTTGAAAGGGTTTTTGCTAGTGCTTCAAGCCTCTGGATTCTATTTCTGTGTCTAGTAATCCTCCCAAAGAAAGAAAGTTGTATAGTATCTTTAAAATACTTCCCCTCCCCCCTTTCCTGTTATTTTTCCCCTGAAGCAATTTTAATTAACCGTTCAGTGACAGATGGTAGAAAAGGCCTTGTCCAAAGTGCTTCTGGTGGGCTGGATTTAGGGATGTGTGGTTTGTGCCAATCCTGTTGTAGAGGGACCTGGCCTTTCCCCTCCCCCCTCCAGTTGAGCTGTAATCTTGTTAGATGATCTGAAAATGCTATTGATTTATTCACATCACTCTTAGAGGAATAAATATAAATTTTGGATTTAAAACCCAAGAACTAATTCCCTTGAGCTCTAAATGCCTTAGCCTTGAGGCCAAGGGAGCTACCTTTCAACTTCTCCACCCAGTCTTCACTGAAAAGGAAAGTTAAGCCTTTTAACTTTTCCATTTGCCTCTCCCCCTTAGTGTAGTACTGCTGCCAGTTGCCATGGCAACGGACTGGGACAGCTGCGCACTGGCGCCCAGGCAGCTGGGTGGGGGCAGGGGAGCTGCCAGCCCGCCAAGCCCCAGACCTGGGAGGGGAGGCCCCTTCTGTTAGCCCAGAGGGAAAGAAAGAACTGGGGCGATCCGGTAGGTACAGGAGGGAACCCCCATTTATCTTCTACCTTTGGGGCTCCTCTTCTGCATGAAAGGTATAAAGGGAGATTTTCCTTTTCCCTCCCTCAAACTGAAGAACACATGTAAATCCTTGTTTTTCCTGGTGAGGCAGGGGAGGCCATAGCCACAATGCTTAACTGCATGCATCTAATATGGGGCTGGTTTTAACCCCAGTGCTCTGACCTAAACTGCTCAGCTCCCGGAAATTCCAAGGTGAGTGGGAGTGGGGGTGGGGTACTCTCCCTGGAATATGACATTTCCTGTCTCTGAGGTTGGAGGCTGTTTTTATTTTAAATAAACCAAATCAGATATATTTTCTTGAAGCTTAGGGCTCTTCTAAATTCCTGGAAAAATTATTTAAAAGCCCTCTATCTACATTCTCCCACTACTCTTCCAAATAAAGTATTTTAATGAAAACTTAGTTTTATTGTAGGGCAGTAATGGATACAGGTAGTTTTTTAGGTAGACAGACTTATTGCATAAGTTCTGGAGATATGGCTTCCAACTATATATTTTTGTAATAATTTTTATTTAAGTTTTGCTGATTTGAAGTGACTTGATAAATGTAGCTTTTTATACTACTTGAACATAATTCTGAAATTAATAGTGTCCCTCCCTATTCCCAGCACTGGTTTTCTGGTCAGGATAGAAATATTATATATTTAGAGACTGCTGGAAAACACCTTTAAAGATTGCAGCAAAATAAAAATGGAGTTCCAGCTAAGAAAACAATTCCTGCTACTCTGTAATCCAGACTGTAGGCACCATTTAACATGGTTAAGGAAGAATTCTTAAAAATGATTATGGTAACAATGTGGGAATTTAAAAAAATAGATTCTGTATTGAGTACCCCCTGGTGTGCATATTTCTGTGCTTAACTCAATTTCCATTTGTGTTGCCTTGTTTCAGCTTTCCTTGGGCCTATGAATGGTTCCTCTGTGTTTTGAGAAGGTTTCATGTTGATGCTGAGTCTGGGGCCAGACTTCTTTTTCCTCCTCCTCTTCCTTTGGCCCAGAGTCAACTTCAGTTAAGAGGAGAGGTACCTCCTTGACTATTTGTGTTAGTTGCGCCTTGGGAATTACTGAACAATCCAGTGATTAGTTTTGAATTTTAGGACTAAAAATTTTTTTCTGCTCCCTGCCTCCTTCCCATCCCCAAATCAGCTTGCTAAAAAGGAGGCTTAGTGTGTTTGAGATGTCATTCTTACTTTTGTTAGCTGATGGATGCTCTGAAGGGACAAGCTCAATTTGTTGAAGGGAAATGTACCGAGTCACTGAAAATGTGAAAGATGTCTGAGCAGGATTTTTTGTGCTGCTAAGAGACTAGTCAAGATACTCAGAGCAGAGATAAGTTATATTTTAGTGGCTTTTCTTTTTTTTTTTTTTTTTTTGAGACAGAATCTCATTCTGTCGCCCTGGGCTAGAGTACAGTGGTGTGATCATAGATAGCTCACCACAACCTTGAATTCCTGGGCTGAAGCAATCCTCCTGTCTCAGGCTCCCAAGTAGCTGGGACTACAGGCATTCGCCACCACACCCAGCTAACTTTTTCTATATTTTTAGTAGAGATGGGGTCTCACTTTTGCTCAGGCTGGTCTGGAACTCCTGACCTCAAGTGATCCTTCTACCTCGGCCTCCCAGAGTGCTAGGATTATAGGTGTGAACTACCACACCCAGCCTTGGTGGCTTTTCTTTTTTCATTTTTATAAAGAACCACATTCATCTTGGAGGGAATGGTTTTTAATATTATCATGGTTCATTTAACTGAAAGTTTTCCACGTTTTACATTTCTGTTTGAGTTCCTGGCTTGTCAACAGTTACAAACATAGCCAGGAATAACATACCACACTACTTGTCTTTTGGAATCTGGAATTAGGGGAGTCAGATAATTATGCCATCTAATAATTTTGGTCTCTTTAGCCAAAGAGAGAGTCATAGTTGAGGAAGTGAGGATTCACCCATTTTTAAATTAAATTCTTAGGACTCATCTGTACAATGACTCAAGACCCAAAAGAAGGGCACATGGCAACTTTGTGTTGTGCCCCCTTCATCCCATCAAGAAGAAGTAGAATTTTTAACTTCTTACCTGGATTCTAACCAATTTGTCCTTCCCCTTTGCCAGGAACCCGGTGGCCTTAGTCTTCAGGTGGAACCGTGTGCGACATGGGAAAGAAAACCAAGCGGACAGCCGACAGTTCTTCTTCAGAGGATGAGGAGGAATACGTTGTGGAGAAGGTGTTAGACAGGCGTGTAGTTAAGGGGCAAGTGGAATATCTACTGAAGTGGAAAGGCTTTTCTGAGTAAGTGCCTTTTTTCAGGCTTTAGAACCCTGCAGAGGTAGACATCTTCAGTTTACTTCCCTGTGAACCACCACCATCTTTGTCTTTTTCTTCCCCCTCCAAACCTTTCCTAAGAGTAAGAAGATGCAGCAGTAAACTAAACAAATTCTCTTCCTCATGGAGCTGGTGTTCTAATGATACTGCATTTGAGAGGCATTCCAATGAATTGGTTAGGAGCACAGGCTTGAGAGCCACATTGCCTGGGTCTAGATTCTTGCTCCACAGCTTGTGGTACAATCTAAATGACTTTGGCTAATTTGTTTAATCGTTTTTTCTTCTAAGTAAGATAGATAAAAGAAATAGTACTTATCATAGGGTTGTTGGGTAGATGTATAGAACCTGACACATAAGCTCAGTGTAAGTGTAAACTGTTATTGTTATTATTTGGATATAATAAAGCTAAAATGTGTAATGTAAGCAAAAAAAAAAAAAAGGAAGATGATCCCAAACATAGCCCATAGTTCTACAAGATTGGATCTCAGAATTATCCCAGGACAAAGCACCCATCTTAATGAGAGACTTAAGCCAGGTGCATTGGTTCACACCTATAATCCTAGCACTCTGGGAGGCTGAGGCAGGAGGATGGCTCAAGATCCGGAGTTCCAAACCAGCCTGAGCAAGAGCGAGACCCCCGTCTCTACTAAAAATAGAAAGAAATTAATTGGCCAACTAATATATAGAAAAGATTAGCCAGGCATGGTGGTGCATGCCTGTAGTCCCAGCTACTTGGGAGGCTGAGGCAGTAGGATTGGTTAAGCTCAGGAGTTTGAGGTTGCTGTGACCTAGGCTGATGCCACGGCACTCTAGCCCAAGCAACAGAGTGAGACTCTGTCTCAAAAAAAAAAAAAAAAAAAAAGAGAGAGAGACTTAAATCTGAGGGCACATTTCTTTTTCAACATTTTGTTTTTTAAGATTTCAAACATAGATCTGAGGTGAAAAAATTTAGAGTGAATGCTCAGATACACAACACCTAGTTTCTATAATTAACATTTTAATATAATCTATCCATTTATTTATCCCTTTAATGAGCTTTAAGAATGATAATGAAGTGTTGACTAGAATCTGTTAGGCAGTAACTGGCTTTATGCTGAAATGTTAAAGTAGATTATTCTTTCCTTTGGAATAAATAGGATGAGGCACATATTAAAGGATAGATGAGGCAGCTTGTAGGTGAAATATGTGAGGCTGTGTAATCTTCAGGCATTCTTCTGCCTCAGTTTCTGATGAATTTTCTTCCCGGGATGCCTGATAATGAAGAATGGATTTCTCAGAACCCCAGTGAACTTATAGGAACGGGTAAAGGCTCCTTAGAGCAGTGCTGTCCAATAGAAATATAATGATATTATATTAAATTTTCTAGTGGCCACATTAAAGAAAAGTGGAATTGATTTTAATGATGTATTTTATTTAACCCAGTATATCAAAAATATTATTTCAGCCAGGCGCGGTGGCTCACGCCTATAATCCTAGCACTCTGGGAGGCCCAGGTGGGTGGATTGCTCGAGGTCAGGAATTCAAAACCAACCTGAGCAAGAGCGAGACCCCGTCTCTACTATAAATAGAAAGAAACTAATTGGCCAACTAATATATATAGAAAAAAAATTAGCCGGGCATGGTGGCGCATGCCTGTAGTCCCAGCTACTTGGGAGGCTGAGGCAGAAGGATTGCTTGAGCCCAGGAATTTGAGGTTGCTGTGAGCTAGGCTGATGCCACGGCACTCACTCTAGCCTGGGCAACAAAGTGAGACTCTGTCTCAAAAAAAAAAATTTTTTTTTTGAGGATGTTTATTGGGCCCATTGAATCACCACTAGAAATACTTGGGTGTTTGAAAGGTGCTTGAAACTCTCTGTCATTGAGCTACCAGTACCTTACCATAGATAAAAGGAGAAAAGATAAGGTTTGGGGTAGACATTTGTCCTTACTTTGTCAGAAATGTATAGGATTTCATAAAAGACTGGAACAGTCCCCTCCCCAACCCCAGCATTGTCTCTATAACTGAGTACCTACCATGAGCTATGCATTGGTCAGATTCTACCTTTTATGTTCTCTTTAATTCTCTCTCTCTTGTTTTTTCTTTCTTCTCAGAAAAGCATTTAGAGGTATTTTCAGTTTACTGATGAAGAAATTAGTGAAGTTTTTTGCTGAAGGTCATGTAACTTGCAGCTGCTGGAACTAGGATTCAATATCAGATTTCTTCGGCCCTAAAACCCAGGCTGTTTTTATTTTTTTAATTTTATTAAGACAGCATCTAGCTCTGTTGCCTGTGCTAGGCACAGTGGTGTTATCACAAAGCTCACTACAATCTCAAACTCTTGGGCTCAAGCAATCCTCTGGCCTCAGTTTCCCAAGTAGCTGGGACTATAGGCGTGCCACCATACCTGGCTAATTTTTTAATATTTTTGTAGAGACAGGGATCTCGATATTGCCCAGGCTGGTCTTGAACTCTTGGCCTCAAGCAATCCTCCCACCTCACCCTCACAAAGTGCTAGGATTTAACAGATGTGAACCACCACTTCTGGCCCTAAGCTCTTTTAAAAGTATACCATGCCTTCTTTTGGGTGAAAATTGGTTGAAATGAAATCAGCAGAACCAAAATGTTAGGAAAGGGATAATCCCATTAGGGGACTGGCTTTCCTTGCTATCAACAAAGACTATCTCCAATCTCTAAGTTTAGTTGGCTTGTTTTATAGTGTTGGCATGCCTATTGGTTTTGGTGCTTTAATTTCCTCTGGGGTAGTGAACTATATGGTCTGTGGGTTTGGAGGAAAGTTACTGCGTGAGGAATTTTTTTCTGCTAAGAGAAGGGATATAAAGGAGAGACTTTTCTAGTGTTAGCTCAAATTATTTAGAAATAAATTTTGTCTCATTCTTATGCTCCTTTTAGAGAAAGTTGTTTAGGTCAACAGTAAATATTCTATCATTTTGTTTCTTATTTGAATCAGGTTATTATGGCATGTGTTCGCATCATTCTTATCTAAAGATACCTTATTTAAAAAACAATACAATACCTAGGATAGGTAGTGCATAAATTTAAAATTTTTTTCCCCAAGTTGACTGACAGATTGTAGAAGCTGCTTTTATGACATATTGAGAGATGTATCTTAATGTAAACTAGTCCTCACTATATAACCAGAAGAACCTCTGCCACTGGCTAAGGGGTAAAGAGGACCCCTGCTCTAGTTTTGCCCATGTAGGTACATTTCTTGCTTTGATTCCATAAGCTTCTTTTTTTTTTTTTTTTTTTTTTTGAGACAGAGTCTCACTGTGTTGCCCAGGCTAGAGTTCCATGGTATTAACCTAGTTCATAGCAACCTCAAACTCCTGGGCAGTCCTTCTGCCTCAGCCTCCTGAGTATCTGGGACTACTAGGGCATGTGCCACCACGCCTGGCTAATTTTTTCTATATATTTTTAGTTGGCCAATTAATTTCTTTCTATTTTTAGTAGAGTCAGGGTCTCGTTCTTGCTCAGGCTGGTTTTGAACTCCTGACCCTGAGCAATCCTCCTGCTTTGGCCTCCCAGAGTGCTAGGATTATAAGTGTGAGCCACCGAGCTCAGCCTTGATTCCATAAGCTTATGATGTAATTGGTGGCTTTGGTTTTCTAAAATCCATGCCGGGAATACAGAGAACAACTTTGAGAATGTCAACTGTTTGTTTTTTTCAAAATAAATGCCAAAGTTTAATGAGACACAATTTATGTTTTTATTGTTTGTTAATATAAAAATATATTTTGACTTCATAGTGACAGTAGATTTGTGTCCAGAGCACTTGAATTAATGCACTCTAAATCCCACTTCATCATCATCTTCTTTGTTTATTATTTATTATTATTATATTATTATTAATTTAAGACCATACTGCCTTATTATTTTTTTTTTGCATGAGGAGCTGAAGGAAATACTGCCTTTTTTCTAAATAACTATTTCTAATCCTCTAGTATTTGTTGACATTTTTTCCAAAATATGAGTAACATATTTAAGGTAATGTAAAATGGGGGTGCAAGATTTAGTAGGTTTTCTCTAGAGTTGCACAGATAATTATATGTATGAAGTCACACTACTTTGCCACATATAAAGCAGAATTCAGATTTGGGTTTTGAAGCAGCTTTATTGAGGTATAATTTACATACCATAAAATTCATCCATTGAAATTGTGCAACCGTCACTATACTGCAGTTTTAGAACACTTCTCTAACCCCACAAAATTCTCTTGAGCCTATTTGTAGTCAATTCCAACTCCCACCCTCAGCCTCAGGCAATCACTAATCTGTTCTCTGTTTCTCTAAATTTGTCTTTCTTAAGCATTTCATATAAATGGAATCAAACTGTATAGTCTCTTGTGTCTGGTTTCTTTCACTTAGTGTAATATTTTTGAGGTTCTTCCAAGTGGTAGCATGTATTAGTTTTTTGTTGAATAGTATTTCATTGTGTGGATATACCATATTTCATTTATCCATTGATTACTTGACGGACATTTGAATTTGTTTTCTGTTTTTGGCTGTTAAAATGCTGCTGTAAACAATCGTGGCCTGTGCCAAGACTGACTGTGATAAAGAAAAAAAAAGAAAAAAGAAGAAATTAAAAAAAAAAAAAATTGTGGCCTGGTTGAGTCAGGAGGATCACTTGAGGCCAGGAGTTCAAGACCCATCTGGGTAACACAGTAAGACCTTGTCTCTACAAAAAATTTAAAAATTAGCCAGGCATTGTGGCACACATCTGTAGTCCTAGCTCCTCAGGAGGCTGAGGCAGGAGGATTGCTTGAACCCAGAAGTTCAAGACCACAGTGAACTATGATAGTGGCACTGCACTCTGGCCCAGGCGGCAGAGTGAGACTGTTTCAAAAAAAAAAAAAAGAGAGAGAGAGAAAATTGTATACAAGTCTTTGTGTGGACATATTTTTTTATTTCTCTTCGGTAGAATTCTAGGATCAAATTTGTTATCTCCTTTAAGTATCAGGTTTCTGCCCTTTCTTTTTGTTTTTTTTTGCCTCAAAGTCCTCTTTAAAATAAGCCATTGGATTTTGTTATTTTTTTAGTCATTCTTTTTCTTTTTCCTTCATTCTTACTGCCCAGGGAGCACAATACTTGGGAACCTGAGAAAAACTTGGATTGCCCTGAGCTAATTTCTGAGTTTATGAAAAAGTATAAGAAGATGAAGGAGGGTGAAAATAACAAACCAAGGGAGAAGTCAGAAAGTAACAAGAGGAAATCCAATTTTTCAAACAGTGCTGATGATATCAAATCCAAAAAAAAGAGAGAGGTAAGCTTTCTTTCCCCTTTTCCCATAAACTACTCTTTTGCTGCTTGCCTCCCTAACTCCCCACTTAGCTCCCCCAAAAAGGGTTATTTTGGTTGTTTCTGTTCTGAGGATGGATCTACAAAGTAAATTGTTGAACAAAAGAGCTTCAGGGGAGATATGTTGATTAACTACAGTGCCCCCTCCTGGCTGAGTGAAAAATGTAATTTGTGGCCACTGAATTGTTTTTAAAGTGGCAAAATTAAATGTTTGTAAAACATTAAACCACTCTTTGCTTTCTGCATAAATAGAAGGCTCTGTTATCTTAGGGAGCATCTTTGGTGAATTTTTTAAGATGGAAAAGGGCTTTGAAATGTTTACCACTTCCTTTTCTCTTTTGTTCCAATGATAGCATTTATTGCCAACCCTTTATATTCCCTTTTACCTTTTTTTTAATTGAGGTGAAATCCACATAACATACAATTAATAATTTTAAACTGTACAGTTCAATGGTATTTATATCTTCTTGATCCTATTATTTCTACCTATTCCTAATAAGAAAATAATTTTCATCTTCTTTTAAATGTTTTTATTGTTCAGCTTGTGAAGTGTATTTATAAAATTTTGGTTTGATTCAGTTGCTTTAATCCTTCTGATCTTTCACTCTCAAGTAACTAGCTTAAACTGTTATTGCGTCTCTTTTTTTCATCTATCTTTTCCATCTGTGTGTTCGTGCAAACACACACATCCACTCCTCACCTCCCCAGCTTCCACTCCTTTCATTTATTTCAAGGTTATGGAGCCTTTTGTAGCAAAGGATGTATATAATACACTTAAAGTTAAATAAAATAAAAGCATAAGTCCACTTTTGAATCTTCTAGCATTCCCATTTATCTTCATTCTACTTGGATATCCATCTTTCTAGAGCATTAGTTCTCAACCCTAGCTACACATCAAAATCACCTGGGAGGTGCTTTAAAAAAAACCTCCAAAGTCCAAGATGCACCACAGACCAGTTAAATTAGAATTTCTGTGGGTTGGACCCAGTCACCAGTGTTTTATAAACTCTTACACGAGTGATTTCTGGTCTTCATAGGAGAAAAAATGGGAGACCAGCTTTCCAAAAAGAATCGAAATGAGAGTGAAAGATTAAAGGTTGCAAGTAAAAGTGGACTGCTGTTTGTGTCTGTCTCTTTATTTGTTTCCCTGACGGTATTTTATACAACCTTATTTTTTAAACTGCCCTATTCTGGTGAGGTCTGTATATTATTATGATCTACTTACTAACAAAGGATTTAAGAATGCTTTCTCTTCTGTAAAGAGCTGGGACTTGATTCTTTTTTTTTCCTTTTTATTAGTCTTTTATATTCTAGCTTTTGTCATTTGATTCATTTTCTAGCTAAGTGAAGAGAGCAAAAACAGCATAAGACCTCTGACTAGCCATTTGTGAAAATGTGTATTTCCACAACCTAGGGTTTCTGTCCTTTTGAAAAGGAGCAATCTGAATCATCTGGCTTAGAGCCACTGGCCAGTGCAGAGAGTTTTGTTCCTAGGCCAGGTTCTGAAGCTGCCGACCTTGAAAACAACCCCCACGTGTCCCTTACATCATAATGTTCATCTGGGGCCCCTGATAGCATTCTCAGCAGTACTGGCTGCTGTCAGGTAGGCAGCTGGGAAGATAGGTGATTATATGTTTTAAAGGTACAGAGGGGGATTGTGTTTTTTTCTTTAGACCACTGCAGAAGAAATTTGTTAGTCGGTATTATGCCTGATTTAAGATTACTGCCTGTGTGATGATTTTAGCATTTTCTTCGCCTCGGCTTCTTTTCAGCAGCTTGAACATTTTTCTTCATCATCCCCCGCCCCCCCTTCTATGGCAAACTGTTTTCAGCCGCCAGCTATGATTTACAACTCAGTCCATGTGCCAGCATTCCAGCTGTGAGCAGCTGTGTGCACATCTGGGAACCTCTTCCCCTTAAGCACCCCCAAAAGAGGCTATGTTTTTAAAAGTCAGTATCTCCCTTGATCCATGTATGGAATTTCCTTCCTATTGTGGGTTATGGTATTTTTGGGGACCACCTGGACCCTGAATTCTTTGTATCTCTCAGAGGAAAGCAAGGTGAACATCAGATCAAAGAGATTTTTTTTTTTTTTTTTTGAGACAGAGTCTCACTTTGTTGCCCAGGCGAGGCAAGAGTGAGACCCCGTCTCTACTATAAATAGAAAGAAATTAATTGGCCAACTAATATATATAGAGAGAAAAAATTAGCTGGGCATGGCGGCGCATGCCTGTAGTCCCAGCTATTTGAGAGGCTGAGGCAGGAGGATTACTTGAGCCCAGGAATTTGAGGTTGCTGTGAGCTAGGCTGACACCATGGCACTCACTCTAGCCTGGGCAACAAAGTGAGACTCTGTCTCAAAAACAAACAAACAAACAAACAAAACCAGCCTGAGCAAGAGTGAGACCCCGTCTGTTCTATAAATAGAAAGAAATTAATTGGCCAACTAATATATAGAGAAAAAATTAGCCGGGCATGGTGGCTCATGCCTGTAGTCTCAGCTACTCGTGAGGCTGAAGCAGCAGGATTGCTTGAGCCTAGGAGTTTGAGGTTGCTGTGAGCTAGGCTGACGCCACAGCACTCACTCTAGCCTGGGCAACAAAGCTAGACTCTGTCTCAAAAAAAAAAAAACTATTTCACAGCTGGGCGTGGTGCCATGCTCCTGTAGTCCTAGCTTCTTGGGACACTGAGGCAGGAGGATCACTTGAGCCTAGGATTTCGAGGCTGCAGTGATCTGTGATTGCACCACTGCACTCCAGCATAGGCAACAGGGCAAGACCTTGTCTCTAAAAAATATATATATCTTCAGGTCGTATATGGTGAAAAACCAAAAATAAAAAAGAAAATAAAAAAACATATATACTATTTCTACATTAAGCAATAGCAAAACTTAGGCCAGACACGGTAGCTCACTCCTATAATCGTAGCACTCTGGGAGGCCGAGGCGGGAGGATCACTCAAGGTCAGGAGTTTGAGATCAGCCTGAGCAAGAGCGAGACCCTGTCTCTACTAAAAATAAAGAGAAATTAGCTGGACAATTAAAAATATATAGAAAGGTCTGTAATCTTGGTGGGCAATACAGAGTTATGTGTGTTCACTGTAAGGGCAGACCAACAAGAACTTTTTCCTACTTTTTAGCCACCTCTTTTTAATAGGAGTGATTCTTCCAGTTGCCAGGGAGAAATTGTGGTAACTGGAGTGAGAGAGTGGGAACAGGGCATGTTAAAAGAAAAAAAAGATTATATATGTGTGGTGTGTGTGTGTGTGTGTGTGTGTGTATAAAATTAGCCGGGCATGGTAGCGCACGCCTGTAGTCCCAGCTACTCAGGAGGCTGAGGCAGGAGGATCGCTTGAGCCCAGGAGTTTGAGGTTGCTGTGAGCTAGGCTGACGCCACAGCACTCTAGCCCAGGCAACACAGTGAGACTCTGTCTCAAAAAAAAACTTAATGAGA